TTGGATCGTATATGGCGAGAAGCGCACTGTTGGGGTCCCTGCTGGCCGTCGCGTTCTGAGACCACTTCCCTGGTAGGCCTATCCGAATGCCGGGACGGTCGGTCTGGGGCACCTGTCGTGGCACCTGTCCCGAGTTTGGGGGCACCTGTCTTTTGAGTGTTCCGATGTTGCAAGTTTGCTGGCGACGCCAGGGTTGGACGAGAGGGCGCAGGCAGGGCCCGGGCCTTGCGGCTTGGGCCCGCCTCTCGGCCTTGGGGGCTTCTCTTTGTTCGAGTTCTTGTTCGACGAGCTTCTCTCGAGTGTGAAGGCGCTGCAGAAACCGCCCACCTACACGAACAAGGAACTCGAAGCAGACGACGCATAGCGGCGACGAAACCGTGGACGCAAGCATGGAAACACGGAGCCGGGACTGAACATGGCTTTGTCGTCGCATTGGCCAATTCGCCTACCGGTTCTGTTCGACTCTAGTCCGGTTTTGGTTCGATTCTGGCTCGACTCAAGCTCGTCTCATCCTCATCCCAGGTTTGGTTCAAGTCGACGGACGTTCGACGCAGCATCGGCGCATGAGTGGAGCGAATGGCTCCAGAACGGTCCCCAGGACGAGCATTTAGTTTTGTCAGTGGCAACTGCGTGGCGTCACGGGGGGTAATGGGTCGGAGGAGCGCACCGCATGGCCGATGCAATCGATGTTGATGCCGATTTCCTCCGCGTCGCGTCGCCGATGCATCGCCGTCGCTGCCGATGCATCGGCGGTGTACTGGCGATGCGTCGTGATCCTTCAGCCTCACGTGCTCGGACCCCATCTGGCAGGCCTCCAGCGGCGTCACGAGGAGCACGGAGGGCGTTCGCGCCCCAGAAAGTCAAGGGCAACGGGGGGGAGAGGCTCCAGAGGGAGCGCATCGAGCCCCGGTCGCCCATCGTTCGCTGGTATGGGCCCGATGCGCCCGCTCAACGTGCGGATTTGCCATCGCGGTCCTATCGCCCATGCATCGGCGATGTATCGTTAAGTCTGGCATCTCCCTCTACAGAAGGAACATTCGAGAGTAGTAGAAAAAAGGGCTGGTGACGATACGATGTTCGTGCTCTTTGGACTATGTTTGACTATCATGGGTCATGTTTTATGTATCTCCCAGAGTCCGCCTGCAGGAGGGCGTGCCCGACCTAAATGTACCGCCGATTCAGTCGAGCTCCATGTCCCTCCCTGAGCTGGTTCACCCCCTCTTTCCGGTCCGCCTCAGAAGGGGGCCCTCGCCCTCCGGAGTCGGCACGCTGGCGTCGCTTCGACGTCCGTCCTCGGCGCAGGGCCTGCGGGCACGTTTCTTGTCCTCGGCGGAGGGCCGGCGGGAGGAGGGCAGGTGCGGCCGCCAGCGGAAGGCCAGGTGCCATGCATCCCCCAAGGGATGCAGAGGCGTCGTGCTGGGAGGATTTCATTGAAGGCGGGCACGTCCCTCTACAGGAGGGATATCCAAACATAATCGAAACATGATCTAGGGACGAGGCATCTCGATTTCTCACAATTTTTGCATATTTTTTGTCAATGTCCATTTTGCTTCCGAAATCTGCCCGTAGGGGGACATGCCCGACCTAATACTTGATACATGGCTTGCGCGCGCGAGAGATGGTTCTTCCTGGTCTACAAGCGTGCAGTACTCTTCCGATGTATTCTCGCGCGCGCGCGCCTGGGCGTGGTTCTCCTACTCTGCCGCCATGCTCGTGTATGTGGAACGCTTGCATGATGGCCAATCCTCACCTGTGTCAACCCACGTTTTTTTTCGTATCCCGATGTAATAGGACACTCGCTCGCGGAGGCAGTGCTCCTCTAGTTCCTAGTCATGTTTGTAGCAGTGAGCCTTTGCATCACATGTGTAAAACCCCTCCCTGTAGTCGGAATGCCTTGAGCGAGCCATGCTTGAACAGGGTGCTGCCAGGATGGGGGATGAGGAGGAGGAGGTGGAGTTCCTCTTGGGTCCCAATGCCGTCAGCAGCAGCGACAGGAGAAGGAGTTGGCCAATCATCCTTTTGCCGGGAGGGCTCTCTGTGGATACGCCTCGGTCCACAGATATGGGGGTTGTTTTGGGGTGCTCTTTGGGCCCCTCTGGGGCACTGTCGGGGCACGCCTGGGGCCTCTCGAATGATTCTTGGCGTCCTTTGGGGTGTCTCTGGTCAGGATGTGATGGTCTCCGGGCCGTCCGGAGGTGTCGAGGGGGACAATCCCAGAGCTGTTTTTGGTCAGAGCGGAGCCATCTCTTAGAGGCCAGCCAGGGGCTTCCGTGGCCATATTGCTAAGTCGGGCTTGTCCCTCTACAGGAGGAATATTCAGAAATAGCAAAAATATAGTCGGGGGACGATTTGTGTTCAATCTTTTTTGAGCATGTTCGAATATTTGTTTGGTATTTTTTATCGTTCGTCCAAAATCCGCCTGTAGGAGGACACGCCCGACCCGACCATCCTGGGCACCCCGGGGGGCCTCTTTGAGCCGCCGGAGTGCCTTTGTGGGGGGCCCCTCGGGAGCGCGTGCGGGGCCATTGGGGCCCATCGTGAAGCCATGTCGAGCCCAACTAGCGCAATAGACTCGGACCATCTTCATGATGTTCCAACCAACTTTCGCAGGGCTCATTTCGATTCCGCCGATTCGATTCGATTCGATTTTGGTGGTTTCCGATTCCGATTCTATTCGAGTTGGGATTCCGATTTGGGTTCCGATTTCTCCCTGGATGCGTACAAGGCTGCCGATTTCCGCCGATTCGAGTTTTTCTGACTCGGCTGTCGATTTCCGCCGATCCGATTCATGTCGATCGCCGATCCGATTTATCTGGACTCTCCTGGTTTTCACGTGTCGGGCCCTGGGAGGCGACACTCGTTCGACACTTCGCCAGCGCGTCGGGTAGACACTGTTTTGATACGTCTCTGGAAGCTCGAAATTGTTTCTGGGATGTGGTCCTGAAGTACGACGGGAACAACATAAGATTAGTTCTACTTCGTGGAGGCCTTCTGCCGGACGGTCTAGGAGCTCCTCTGGGCTTGTGCAGCCCACGCGGGGACCGGCTTGGATGAACAGTGGGAAACCGACCCCAGCCCCCACAACAAGGGTTTTACATTCTGCAATTCTGGCGAAAGTGCGTAAGTGTAGGCGCCTTGTTAGGGAGGCCATGGCCGGTTGCCGCAGGGAGGGGGGGGGGGTCCGCGCGCGCGCCAGGTCCTCGTCTGCGGGGCGGGGGTCGGTTTCGTGCGTTCATTGGGGAACTACATCAATGTTGGGCCATCTTGGGCGGTCTGAGGACCACCTCGAGTTACTTACTTTGAGCACTCTCGAGGGCCCAGGGAGAGCCATGTCGAGAGCCCCCCGAGAGCCTTGTGAAAGCTCTGTGCGGGAGTTTGTGTCTGGGGGGAGGAGCCCCGCTCCCACCGAGCGGGAGGTGGGACATCCAGGAGTGCGTAGGGGGGAGCGGAGCAGGGGGAGGTTCGGGGAGACGTAAGGCTCGAGCAAGCCGGAACTCGGGTTTGCCGACGTGTAAGGCTCGAGCAAGCCGGAACTCGGGTTTGCCGACGTTTCCTGACGAGCGCGTCTTGGATTTTGACGGTCTGGTTGTCGTGGGATGTCCGCAGCGGGAGTTCGCGTCGGATTTCAGATTGGGTATTGTGTCATTTTCATGCTGTCCCCGTCAGGCCAACCCGATTCCCCCGCACCCGAGTCTCACGTCTCCCCGAGGGAGGTGGGGATAAGGTTTTGCTTGCTACTATTTTTTACTATTTTGAGTATGGTTTGAATCTTTTCTATGTTTCGTCTCAAATCCGCCAGTAGGAGGATCTGCCCGACCTAAGTCTAACGCCTCGCGAGCGGGTTTTCGCGGACACTGTCGGGCCACGCGCGCAGCTGCGACCTCCCCTGGAGATGCAGGCGCGCGCGGGGGAGTACGCACAGAGCGTACAGAGCCGTGGCCTGCTTCTGCTCGGGTATGATCCAGGAGGAAGAATACACAGGCAGAAGTGGTCGTCGACTCCCAAAGGAAATGCGGGAATCTATGGGAAGCGGGGGGGGGGATGAACACCCAGAACATATGGGAATGTGTGGGGAATCCGAGGCTTTGTGTCTATCTTCGGGTATAGCCAGGACCCCAGGTAAGGGGACCCGGTTAGTGGTAGGGCCCTGGAGCCTCTTGAATTTGCGAGAGTCACTAAACCAGGGTTGCCATAGCTGGTGTTTTTTCGGGTGACGGCAGTTCCGGTTCGTGGAAATGGGACGGGGGGGCGCCCCCGGTACAGATCATTAAACCAGGTTCCACTAAGCCCAGTTCTGCCAACGCCCGATCTGCGAGGAAGTGCACGTTCACCCGTGCAAGCGCATGCGCGTGGGCTGTATCTACGCGTTCAGGTGGGGGTGCACCGGCAGCCGTGCATGCACGTGTGCGTGTGCGTGCGTGCGGGAGAGGGAGCGGTGGCCGGTGTTGGTACGCGTGTGGCCGTGAACGTGTACGGAAGACCTGATAGCGTTTGTATGCCGCAGGATCTGGTGCAAGTGTTGAATTCATATTGGTGTTACGTAGGCGCATCTGTTTCGAAGGAAGTTGCTGGATAGCATCCCCAAAGGTGTTTCCACTCGTGAGAATGTGTTTGGGCCGCAGAGGGTTGGGAAAGCCCGCTGGGGTCTCGCTGTCTTCGCCCGATGGCCCCGCCCAGAGCGTTCCGCCTACCGACTCCCGCCCGTAGGAGGGTGGTCGCATGGGTTCGTTGGTCGTAGCCTTGGATCCCGCCCACCGGGCCCCTGCCCCTGGTCCCTGCCCCTGGGCTTAGTCCCCAAAGTGGTCGCGGAGGCTGGCTGGGCGGTGCCCATTGGACCCCGCCCAGAGGGTCCCGTCCAAGATGTGCTCGGTGGGGCTGGTTGGTGGCTGCCCAGAGGGTCTCGCCCACAGCTGGGCCTCGGCCCGAGGGCCTGCTCACGGGAGTCGGCTCGTGGGCGCTTCCAGGGTCCTGCACTTGCAGGGCTATCGCGGGGGCTCCGC